TTTAGGCTGTCCTGGCTGCAAGATGTAGGTACGTTTAAGTGAATTTAATTCTAGGTACATAGTGAGATGGGTACGAGGTAGTTGCGTGCCTAGGTAAATATGGTGTGTATTCACGGAGGAAATGTGTCAAGTTTTATTAATGAACCTTGAGCAAGAAACATTTTTGAAATCCCCCTCCTTTCTTTCCCCCCTTCCCCGCCCCCAGCATTGAAAACAGAAGGGCATTATTTTCAATCTTTCACACTATAAAAAAAGGTTCTAATGGCCGAAAAGTGCTGCTTAGTTGTCGTACTTTTGACTGGTGCACATCGTTCAAATGTTTAAAGTTTACCTACCTGTAAAGAAATAGTGACTCTGTTCTTTTTTGTCCAGTTACTTTGAGGCGATGTTTCGATCATTCATGCCTGAGGACAATACTGTCACAGTAAGTTAAAACGGTAGTTTTTAATCTGAAAGCTCAAGCATGCATTCTTTTTAATCTAGTCTGATCAGCGCGCTTCAATAATTGTTATTTAACTTGATCTTCATGTGGTCAAATAAGAGTAATGATCCTTTCGTTTCTTTTCCCCGTGTAAAAACCGCTGATAATCGTAATAAGACCTGTTGTCAGTGATCCGTCCCTTTATTACCTCCCTTTATGTCTAGAACGCCTACATAGTGTTAAATAGTCTTTAAAAATAGTCTTTGAAAATAACACTTCGAAAAGTGTTATCAAATTGACCACAGGACAGTCTAGTCTGGTCAGACTATTCCTTAATACAGTCGAATCTCCATTAAGCGGCCACCTATTAAGCGGCCACCCTCTATTAAGGGGCCAGTAATCAAAGTCTCGAAATATTTGTAGAAAAGATCAGCAAATTTTAAAACCTCTATGAAGCGGCCGCGTCAGCTTTGGACTGTCCCAACGATAGTTCTCTCATTGTTGTCACCTCCATTAAGCGGCCATCAAGCGCTTGATACACTTAGCTCGGCTTCATTCTTAGAATATGACGAAGGAAAATACTGTCTGAGATAATAAACGGTGACGACCGATTGTGGAATAGTATAGTAATGCTTCTCCCATCGTGCGTTTCTTTCAAAATAAAGTGGCGTTTCTGCTAAAGATTATGCTCATGTTATGCGGATTTATGACGAACCTCCATTGAGCGGTCAACCTCCATTAAGCGGCCACTTGCCGGTACCCTGAGGGTGGCCGTTAAATGGAGGTTCAACTGTAGTAGACACATAGCGTGCGTACGAGGAATCTCCGTCCCCGCCTTCAAAGCCCCCCCCCCTTCCGCCCGCCGCCCCCTGCCCCCCTCCGAGAGCTTACTTGCGTACGCTATATGTACACACGGCAGTGATGTGTCTTAAATGAAAGGTATAGAAAAAGAATATTTCATCTTTATAAAGACTGGTCGGTCCGGCCAGTTCTGACTTTTGGTTAGCGCTCTCTTATTTTATTCTCTCTCTCCTTTTATTCATTGTAAACATGTTCGTTACTAAATTGCTCTTATCTTCCCACGTCTGTTTGAACCCTCCATATCATTGCCGCTGAGAATGAGAAGGGTAGGCAAGAATAAATGTAAAGGACTTGTCGTTCCACGATTTTGGTGACTATTCTAATCATTCTCAAAACTGAAAAGTAACAAAGTCAGTAGGTGATCCACCTGTGTGAGAGGCACGATTCCGCCAACTGTTTTTTGACGTTATCCTCAAGTTCCGATCAGTTCATTTTTTGTCATTTGCTGTTTTTTGTTACTGATGATGCTCATCTACATCTCCACCTCCATCAGTAAATTGCAAAATCATCAGCAACCCTGATTCTAGGGTTCTCTCTTACCTGTCTCTGGGAACGAAGTTGCGGGACTGGTAAGAGAGAACCTGGGAACGAGTATGAATCATCAGGGGTCATGTCACAGGTTTCACGACTGGATTTCTCTTTCAGTAGAACAATGGATTAAAACTCCCCTATTTATTTTTCTAGATTACTATTGGTGAGACTATTCCCTCTCGAGAGGCCTTTAATTCGCTCCTTCATTATATCTATCATGGAGATGTCACCATGCCGCCTGAGGACTCACTGTATCCTTTGTTTTAAATTCAAGCCAGATTTTGCTTTTCTTTCACGCGTTGTAAGCACAGCTAAAGGGCATCTTCGCTTTGTCTTAAAACACTGAAAATCGAACACTTGCAAAAAACGCTCGGAATAAGAATCCATCCGCATAAAAGGACAACTATATTGTAAAAAAATGTCTTAATAAGTAAGCCTGAGAATAAAGTAGTTCCCCTTTGGATCTTTTTTTAAAGAATAACGTTACTAAAATTAATTTTTCCAAGACAAGCTGTTAAACAAATAGAATAATTTCTTTCCTTAATATTCCTAACAAGATATCTTTTGTCTGCTCCGTACTTTTTTGGGTTCACTAACAATAGACTTCAGGTATGTGTTGTTTATCATCTTGTTACGTTGAGCAATCGAAGTCCAGACAAACAAATGAAACAAACAAATGTTAACAAATGAATTCGTTCTTTGCACTTTAGGCCTTCTGTAAACAGAACCTGGAAATGAATGTCTCATTTGAAAACGTTGTCGAGGTAGAAGATACGAGTTAATATATTAAGTACTCATTTATATCTTAGATGTAAAACATTGTATCTACCCAACCCTCTGTTCCCCATCCCTGATGCGGTATACCCGTATAGCCGTCTCGTTTGTGGGCAAATGCGACGGCTAAACGTCTATACTATGTTGCACACGATTCCACCCTTTGTAAACGCACCCCAGATTAGCGGAAAATATGAAGCAAAATTTAGAGAGTAAAAAGCATCACGTTTACTGCAAACTGCAAACAGTAGAGATGAGGAGGTAACCATTTTCTACCCGTTGCCGTTTGTCTCTAACCGTTTATAACTGACGTGAAGATGAGTGCTTTTCTTTCACTTTCATGAAAAACGCGCGAGATAGAACTTTACTTCAGTGGATACCGTTCTCGGATTCGGGGTGCAACCCTATGAGCCGTCTCTGCCACTTGCTCTAAACGTGATGCTTACAAACCTGCCTTTTCTATTTCGTCTTCCAAGTGGGCTTTTTTAACGAATAATTTCTTTTCCCTTTAGCCTTATCACTCCTAGTTTGCAATCACGTGACAAGGTGGCCATGTTGGCTAACAAAACAAAATTTTTTCCGCAGAAATAGAGAAGAGAAGTGTGACGTCACGTAACCCTGCTAGCAAAATTTCTGGATCTCAACAATGCTAACTTGGCAACGTGGCGTAACGACTTCTACTATCTATTTACATAATAAAAAAGTTAAGTTCCCGGCGATGGGAAACGCTTTTGGTCTCATCGACCAAAGTGGCTGCATTGCCGTCGGCTGCAAACCAGCAATAAATTTTGGAACATTTGTTCCCACAATAATTCCTAGTCTAGCAAGATTCTTTGAAGTACAGTTTATACTTGAAGAAAGCTCTTATCTGTACTTAACTAATTACATGGATGTGAACATTTTCACCACTTTTGCCAGATTCTTGAGGCAGCTCATAGAATTGGAGCCACAGACATGAAGAAGCATGCACTCGAGCTTGTTGTTGGACATTTTCCCAAGGTAACGGCTGCAGTTCGCGGAAAAGGGACGCATTGGTTGTGCAATTATCGAAGAGTTTTTAACAAAGAAGTTTTGATTGAAAATAAAATTTAACATGTGCTCGCTTGGTTTTTCGTTTGTTGACCTGCGCGAAACCGCACAAACAAATTTGTGAAAATTAAGTGCACGTGCACGGAACCGATCAATTACAAACATGTTGCTTCTTATCTGACCAATCAGATGCTAGTGAATACCTTTGGGACACAAATATTTTCCCGCGCCTGGAACAAGTCTGTTTTCCCGCGCTTAGAGCCACTTGCCTATTTTGCTTTTTGTTAGTTGATTTTTGTGCACCTCGTCCTTGTTCTATTTGATGTTTTGCATTTTAATTTGCTTGTTTTTAATACTTTTCTGACTGTCATTAATTAGATGTAGCGATCTTCCCTCTAGCTAACGACCATTAAGTACGCTGTCAGTATATTACCTAGATTTTATAGTAATTTGCTTCCATTATCGTAAAAATGGGATTCAAGTCCACAAGACCTCTGTCACTGCTAAGCCATGAGTAATCCGTGGTAATATACGTAATTTACGAGTTCTGTTAGGAGAACATGTTCTTTGTCAGACGGAAGAAGCATGTAGTCTTCAGGACGCGCATGTATCATTGAGTTCTTTCGTGATTGCTTTGTAACCAGCTAAAAAATGTCTTGCGCGCCTTTTTCGACCAGTTACCAAAACCAAAACCAATCGTTCTCCCCGCGCATTACGCCGGTTCTGATTGGCTCGTTGCATAGCCTATTATGTGGTTTACTTCTTGTTTGGGTCTACAACAGACAATTGAAACTGCACTCTAAATCAAGTGAGGTAAACTACAACAGCACGCCACGAGTCTTCCTGTAGAGGGAGATCCCGGGGCCCTTTTCTCGAGAGGCCCGTAACCCTTCGAGGAAATTTTGAAATCAAAACATGTTGAATAGTAGCACAGTTCCTAGCTCACAAACCGGCCAATTTTGCTTTGTTAACTGATGGTTACATTATCTCATTTTCAAAGTTACTGAAACTTTGATCTTGAATGCTAACACAGCAAACGTAAAAGAGCTTTTTGGGCCCGAAAAGTTATCGGGACTTTCGAGAAAAGGGCCCCCGGACGGTCAGATGAGTTGCCCCACTCCTGTCGGCGAACTCACACTTCTTGCTCGTAACAGTCTCATCACATCATTCTCATAAACACTTTTTCTTTCTTTTTCCTCAGGTCGCCAAATCTCCGAAACTGAGACGGCTTAGCAGAGACTTGTTGTTGGAAATTCTGGACGCCATTGCGGACCACTTAAAAGACTTCAACCTTGCTGTTAACTCGTGACAAAGCGGCGTCTACTTATCAAATGTCTGAATCCATATCTTCCGCACGATGTGATACCTGACTTTCCGCGCCGGCGCAGGCCACAGCGTAACGATGTCGAATTAAATCCCAACGCCTGTGTAAATCTCTGATAATGCTTGGATTCGATCTGAATAAGAGGATGCATCTGTAAATTGAGGATCTTAGGATGCTGGACTATTCACCCCTTCTTCTCTCCCCTTTTAAATGCCTTCTGGATGAGTACTGTAACGAGAGGGTGCGTAGATAAGGCGCGCGTGTTGCTGAAAAATCTACTCCTCTGCTTTCCTGTGTAAGTCCACGGGGCCTGTTTCTCGAAAGTTCCGGGAGCTTTCCGGGCCCGGAAAGCTATTTTGTGTATGCCGTATTTACATTCAAGATCAAAGTTTCAATAATTTTGACAATAACATAATGAAACTACTAGTTAACGAAGCAAAATTGACTGGTTTGTGGGCTAGGAACTTCGCTACTATTCAACAAGTTTTGATTTTAAAATTTGCCTTCAGGTCTGAAACATTTCCGGGCCTTTCGAGAAACGAGCCGCTGGATTATCATAGGGAGATGCAGCTGTAAGATACATCCAGATGTTTTGATATGACGCATGCGCGACACTGAATCTTCCCGTCGATGAAAAATACTTATACTAAGCAACCAGGCCGCCACAAAGAAGAAATTCAGGAGTAATGTGAACGTCGGGCCTTACTATAGACTCCGACCAAGTTAAGGGAACTTGAGGATAATGACCGCTCCACTGGGAATGCTCTGATACGCCCGAAGAAGAAGCATAGGATAAGTTGTTTTAATGTTTTCCGGGACTTGACAGTAAATGAAATAAAAATATATATTTATCATCGAGAAGCAAAAAAAGGAAATGAAATAATGTTAGACTTGCCAGAGGCAAGATAAGTTTTAACAAGAGAGAATGATCATTCTCTCTTGGTTTTAATTAAATTCAGGCCGTAAGGAGAGCAAACATCTAGATCACCTTGGCATTGACCGGGTTAACATATACACGAAAGATCAATACTGGCTATTGCACAAAGTAGAACAGTTGATGTTTTACAGAAAATGCTGCTTACTTTTCTTCGATTAAGTTAAACTTAGCAAGCCTTTGCTGGTTTTGCATGTCATGCGATCCCTTTGTAAATTCAAGTGATAATTTGTATGGTTAATTATAATTTTAAAGAACAGAAAATCCGTTTCTAACGAAAATGCAAAATTGGCCTGCTCGTTAAATTACCGCAAGAAGCAGGTGTTGTTCGTTTTTTTAGCCTTTGTTAGCTCGATCCAGTAGCATAATTAATGTCATTTATCTCCCCATTTTAAGACTTAGATTTCCCCTCTTTTATTTTTCTCTTTGAAATATTATATACTCTTGTCTCGTGTTGGCGCTTACCTTAAAAAATGTAAAACATATTCAATTGTCCAATATTCACTATTTTAGTATCCTTCAGTTTTATGCTCAGGTCAACCACGTATGTAAATTACGATAAGATCATTCCATGTAGCCAGCTTTATTTGGGTTTTACGAGCTCTTTATTTTTTACCCTAAAAGTCTTAACTGAGTTTATGGGAAGCATCTCGGCTATTCTACCGTTGTCTCGTGGTGATTCCATTTTCGCAGCAAGACATAAAGAAGTGTATTTGTCATTAAGCCAGCGTCGATTCTGATCTGTGCTTTGCGAAAAAAAAACATTACCTTTTCCAGCTCGAAGAGTAAACAAGTGTAGTGCAGATCGCTCGGTTTTCGGCTGTTTTTAGATTTTTACCGATCAATGATCGCAAGCAAACACGTTTCTTGATAAATTCATTATCTGCGCAAAGTTTTTTTTCCTCTCAAAATTTGAAGTTTGGGTGCAATACATTGAAATGTTTAATGTCGATAACTGGCACCAATGTTCAAAACACTGGAGGTCGCTCTTCATTAAAAAAACAATTATCAAAGTTCACATTATTGTAAATGCGATTTATCTTTTAACGTTTCGGCGAATTCAAAGAAAAATCTACCGAACAGTGTCGGCAATCTTCGGTTCCAAATGCACCGACGAAGTGTATTCCCGTAATCGTCTCTTCGGTTGATGCTGCATCCTTGTTTTGTATACTTCTTCTATTACTGGCTCGGTTACAACTCTTTTCGAGTGCCAGTGGTCTAGGCATCTTGGTACAAGATACATCATGTCCTTGTAAATTGTAAATGGCTTTGGATTGTTCTTCGCGGGAAAATGAACGACTATAGAGATATGTTTTTTAATTACCACCTTTGGGTAGAAAAATATCTCGCAGATGTAACTTTTTTTCGACGCTTTCCGTAAGCTGTAATGGTAAGAGCAAACTTGAATTGGCCCCTCTGTGAACAGGCGAATTTCGTCGGAATATAAAAAGGGAGCAAGCTGTACCCCTTCGTTTACTGTAGCTTTTACAGTTGATCTGTTCGATCGCCGAAGAGGATGAACCGCATTATTTTCAAATTTCCTACGATACATTTTCCTTTTGTTATGAGTTCAAACGGACGCTAATCGTAGCTCCATGGTGTCCAAAGAACAACTGCTGGTAAATTGAAATGAAGCGTAAGCCGGTGACAAATTATTTTATATGCGCAAAATGATCAAAATTGCAAATCGCAAATGTTCATGGTTTATTTATTTTGCACACAGTTCAGCTGAGTTCTTTTTTTGTCTTCATTTGACGTAACTCTTGATGAATACGGCAAACTATCATCCCCCATATTGAAAGATTATTTCACAAACCAATTCAGCTGTACCTACAGGACGATGTAAAGACTTGTTTTTGAGACCGTGCTAACAGCTTATGCCACGAATAAAGGAGAGGATAGTGTTGTACTCTTGTCTTCATGTGACGTCACACCCGATGAATAAGCCAAATTATATCAGCCCCATGATTGAAAGATAAGTACGATTATTTACTAAACCAATCAAGTTGTGGCTACAGGTGTAAGGACTTGTTTTTAACACCGTGCTGGTAGTGTCTGCGTTTTCAAAGTTAGCACGTTTGTATCATTAGATCGACAAAAGAGACGATAATGTCCTATTATCCTTTGTTGATCGACAACCACTAATGCGAGGTAAGAGGAACAAATTACAAATGTTATAGAAGAATTTCTTCAAGAGAAGCCGGTCAGAGAAATCGTTTTTTTAGTGCAGTACAGTGCGAAAAGCATGGTTGTGGTTGTTTGGTCCTTTTCTTCAGGAACTGTTTTTTATTGTTTGTTTCCTTTGTTCGTCTTAGCACACAAAGCTATGGGTTTATAACTGTCCACAAACATATCCACTCCTTATGGAGGATGGTGCCAAACTCTCCCTTTACATCGTTCTCGTTTAATCCTCGTGAACGATTACAAAATTTAACTCACGTTGACTCGTGAGATATGTGCAGGATTAAACTCTGTCGCAAAAATTTGCTTTTTTAGCAAATTTTTATCGCAATTTTAGCAAAAAAAAAAGATTAACAAAAAAATGTTGTCAGACACTTATACTTGCAAATATCGCAAATATATCAAGAATAACAACTTTAGCAGAGTTTTTGAAGAAGAAAGGCAAAGAAGGCCATCAAGAAGACCGCAAATTTCGCAAAGATCGCAAAAGTAACAAGAATTTTCTTGTTATCAACAAAGTCTCGGTAACAAATATCGCAACAACAACAAATTTAACAAAATTATAGTCTTTTAAAGAAGAAAGACAAAAAATGCCCTCGAGAAGTCCGCAAATTTCGCAAAAGTAACAAGAATTTTTTTTATGAAAAAAGACACGGTAACAAATATCGCAAAAATAACGGTAAGAACAAATTTAACTAAATTTTAAACTTATAAAGAGGAAAGGCAAAGAGTGCACTCGCGCTAAACTTGTTGTTCTTGCGATATTTGATAGCTTGACTTTCCTGTTGGAATGAAAAATTCTTGTTGCTTTAATTTGCGCGGATTTTTGTCAAATTTGCGACTTTCTCTTGGTTCGTCTTTGTCTTCCGTTGACAAGTTTTCAAAACATTGCAGATAAAATCCTTGTTACTTGTATGACAGACGACTCAGCTACAGTTTGCAATTCATGTTCAATTTCAGTGTCATTCTTGCTATATTTAATTTGATATATGTGTAACAGAAATTAATAGGCTCAGTATGAACGGCAAATTTGTACCCTTCAGAGGGGTACAAACATGGAGGCCGGAAGTAAACCTAGGAACATTAGAGAGCTTTATTTTCAGAATGGGAAACCACACCAGGTTGAAAACTTGCAGAGATCGGAGGTTAATTTTTAAGAAATTTTTTTCATGAGAGAGATAAACTCCTTAAAACAATGTTAAAAGTGCCCGTGAGTTTGGAGCACGAGTTTGTGTAAGCCTAAACAGACTTCTGTCGATTCAGCCTTATCTACTGAATCATCTGACTGTTTTGAATAACCTACAGAATAACTGCGTTCTTTTCCAGGATATCAACAACTACTCTATATTAAAAAAAACACAAAGAAAAAGGAAAAGAAAAGCAAAAAGCAAAATGGTCAAGAGATATTTTTATGGACATACATAACAAACAATTATCAGACCATTTTAATTGTCTGTTTTTCTCCCGGTTAGTAGCATTTCCTGTCCGAAAACTGAAAAACGGCTGATGAAAAATAAAATAAAATAAAACGAAAAAAACAGGTTCTTGATTCAGGAGTAAGACTGCTGATGAGTTATGGCGGATTAAGATAATTCAAAGAGTAAATAAAACTTACAATAGAAGCAGTCATCGCTCTTTTTTCTTTTAGTAAAGTCGATAAAACAAAGGACTGATCGCCTAACAGAGAAAAAGCGGGCATGCTAATTCGGCTCCTAACTCTTCTCAAACCCGTTGCTTAGTGACTTTCTTCAAGCGTTCACACAAAGGAACGGAGTTAAAGCACGGACGGGGTGAAAAGGAAGCAGAAAGGACTTATCAAAGGCAGTCGGAGTTCGAAGAAATGGCTGCAAGGTTACGGTTTCGTAGAATTAACATCTTTACAACAACTTCTTTTGTTATTCAAATCACTCGTTTACAGCACGGCCTGAGTGCCTAAAAGAATAGTTCTTCTCAGTTGTTATCTAAACTTTCATTAAGTCACTAAAATTCTCTCCTAGAATTAAGGCAATGCTATTCACATATTTACAAGATATTTTATACAAAAGATGTTATGTACAGTAACTTGTCGCACAAGCAGGCATCAATAAATAATTAAAATGTAATCAATAGACGTCTGTGATCTGTTAATTATCCATTTTGAGGTGTAGTTAATCCCTCTTTCAACTCCACCACCACTTAAGTCTGCAAGCGAAATAACTCATTGAAAAGTGAATCGGTTGTCAAACGATTTTTGGAGAAGTTGTTGTCGTTCGTGCGTCACAACATTACTTTTACACTTAAAAACGACAATCTTAAGTTATGGTTCAAGGGTCAAAGTGACCATCTCACGTTCCTGAAAAACAACATCTTATTTTCAAAAACATCTCTTTATGTTGACAATACTTCAATAAACTCTAAAACCCAAAGACGCTTGAAGAACAGTATTTCCTCTTCCTTTAAGAAAGGAAATCATAATGAAGCTTGTGTGTTCCACTGTTAACAGCAAATGTACGTGTAAGCAGGCTGCTATAAATAGCTTTCAGTTACTAAGTAAACCAAATTATGCATAGAAACTACTTTGTTGTTCTCCTCCGGTTCTCTTATGCAAGAAATCCATGTATCGCTTTCTCCTATGTAACTTATAAATCCGTAATCTTTCTTCTTCTTCTCCTGGATCTTCGCATTGCGTGTAATCCCATCGTAAAGACTCGTTTATTCGTGTCAAACTCGTCGACTGTTTTAGATCGTCCACCCTTTCTCGCACGTGACTTTCTTCCGAAGACGATAAATTTGTACAAGCTGTAGCACCGAAGTTTTCCCCGCTGCTACTTGTACTCCGGCCATCCGAGCTGCTTAGTCGCCAGCTACTCGAGGAAGTGTTTAGTGCGCTTGAAGATCGAGATTTAAAGCTCAAATCTTCAGCTGGCTTTTTCACATCGTCCTTTTCGGTTCGTGATTTAGCTCTAGACTTCCGTTGAGTTCCTGCAGTAAGAAACAAAAAGTTGTTTAAATTGTTCACAGTATGAAGTTAATAACGTAATGCCTAAAAATTGCGCATCTCTTTAAGAGACAACATTCAACTTGAATGAACTTTTATTTCGCATAAGAATAAACAAACAACTTTGACAACACAAACCTTCACTCGAGCTATCAGCGCCCGATGCAAGGGTTTTAAATGTATCACTTCTACTATATCTCCCCGAATCTTTTTTCTTTTTCTTCTTGGGTTTAGCTGGTCTGTCAGTAGGTGTCACGGTAAGCGATTTCTTACTCTGTGTTGGCATTTTTGTGTTCTTGATTTCTCAGCCATCCGTCTTGAGTTGTAGCTTCCATGGCAATATCACACAATAGCTTTTGTAATGCAAAATCGCGTTATTTGGTCACAAATACACAATAGCCTCCGCGCGCGACATTCCCGGATGTTACAATGCGGAAGAGGATAAAGAAGATTGGTGAGTGACGCATGGATGATCACTCTCCGAGATTCTATCAGAACAAGGATTACATTATGAAAATGTGCAAAGTGTAATTAAAATTCTATAAGTCAGTACGGTAAGAATACGTCACTCGTGTTTCAACTTTCTTATACAAAAATGAGTTTAAGAATCAGAGGCAGAATAAACTTGCACTGATAGTAAACTGTAGAAAACCATCACATTGATTGTATAGGGCTATTGTACAAGCACAACGTAAAAAATGCCATCCCACATCTAAAGCCTAAACCACGTCTTTGTACCCAAGATTTAAATCGCCTGGTAATGAGTTTCAATCGTAAACTGAATTGAGGAAGAGATGACACTCTTACTCTCGAACTATTTCGCCGTTTCACTCAAACACACCACGTGTGCAAAGCTTCTCCTCGCGAATTTTCTATCAGAGTTAACTGAGGAACCCTTCCTGCAATGCTCATTGCCGAGTCCTATCCACAGTATGCAGATGAACCTCTTCACAAGGGCTACCTTGGGGACAGAAGAAAGTGGCCATTGTAGAGAGTGGCCGTTATTGGAGGTTTGACTGCGTAGTCTAATAAGACCCTTGCAAATTGATTTTTCAAACAGCCAGCCAGACATTCTGGGCGGGATTCATTTGCTGAATTAAATAAGATCTAGCTTGCAGAGCTACTGATTCCTACTGCAGCAGAAATAAGGTTTATGAGGGAAGTTTCGTTGTCTCCTTCCATGAAATAAAAGTGGCCACCAGGAAGAATATGTCTGTTAAAAGGACCATGAATAAGTTCTGCCCAACCTGTAAGAACAAAAAAGAAAAGAAAAAAACACAATCTAATTAGAAAGTAATTCACGAAAAAAATAGAGATGTGGCTATTAAACTTAAAGTGTTCGACCTCATCCTTCAGATCGATGTTACTATGGCTTTCTCTTCGACTCTCTGTCTACAGTCAACTCTCCGCTCCAAGACTTAAGTTGATGTTACACGGGACGATTCGCAACGATGATTTTGGCGAAATGCAGCGCGGCAACATTGCTGCGACATTGTTTTGAATGGTCACAACATTGTTCCAACATTGCAACGCTGTGTTGCGCTAAAAATCGTCGTTGCGAATCGTCTCGTGTAACATCACCTTTACACCGTTGAGTCTGGTACTTACTACCCATCTCATAGAGAGATGTCCGCCTAAGAAACTGCAGAACGCAAATCTAAGTGTCCATTTAAGGGGGGTGTCCGCCTTACAGAGAGTCAAAGAAAATGACTGAACAACGCAGGGACCAACTATGAGTGAGAGGGAAGTGTCTTCAAACAGATTCCAAGAAAGTGTCTGAAGAGGGTAAAAATGAAAAAATACAGTCAATAATGTCGCAGTTCCTTTGGCTAGACTTTAAATTAAAGTCTAGTAAAAACATGACAAGAAAACATATGGCGTAAAGGGGGGACACCGCTCCGCGATGGGCGTGGAAGAAGACTTCCGCCATATCGTGACCATATAGCCTTACTTATTTCCCCCGCGATATTGACACCACGGCGATATAGGCGCCACAAGTGAAGCTGAAACTTCCAGCCAGCCAGCTACAAAATTCTTAGGTTACCCGGCTTAGTTTGAGCTCGTAAGTTAAGAATCTAGCAGTGGAAAAAATGCGCTGTCGGCGCGGGGAATAGAAACATTACCTACCATCTTGATCGTGAAGATCTGTGGAGCCATCGAAGCATGTAACGGGGCAATTCAAGACTATGCTGTTATTTGTTTCAAACCTACAGTTGGATATTAGATTAGAATGCAAATCAATAAACTGCTAACTCAAATCAATTGACAACATTCGCGGTTTGCTCAGAGAATTAGCCTACTTCTAAATATTAAAACACCCGACTTTCCTGACTATTGTTCATCACCGAAACATCTGATTAGTTCCCAGTCGTCAGGAAGCGGTCGCGGTAGACTAATTACGGCATCTTGGACAAAAAGAGAAGGGGCGTCTCCGCAGCCAAAACATGATTATCTACACTATAATGCGTGATACCTGAGCCACTCAACCGACGGTACAAGGGCAGTTTTCTTTTTTCAATTCAATTGATAAAGCCAATTTTCTTGAGTCTAACACTCAGAGACGACTTTACCGAACGATATTTTCAATTAAATAGACCAAATATGCAGTCAAAAAGTAAAATGGACTGCTCACTTGATCTCTTCTCACTCCCCACGCGAACCTTTTTTTTAGAACATGCATTGTATAAATTTCCATCTTTTTCAGCGTTTAAGTAGCTATACATCTCACTCTTTGAGAGAAACCGAGCTTAATGTCCGAAAAACAGACAAAGATTTGGATAGACTGTGTGGTTCTATTTGATTAAAATATGACCTGATAAAAAGGCAAGTAGGTTCGAAGGAAGTTTTTCGGTAACTGATAAATTGAAGATACAGTATGAATGGATTAAGTCGTTCATTTTATCAGAAACCGATACATAAAGAAAAAAAGCGTTACGGTAGCTTTTGGAATGATTTATAATGGGCAGCCCCTCCCTCTTTATGACTACATCCTGTCAGTGTGCTAATGTATTTTTGGTATTTCAAGTTTATGCTACCTGTAGTTCTTGAGGAGTGTCAGGTCAGCTCTTAAAACACGAACAGCTATCTTCATCATGTCTTTGTTTTCGGTCAAGACTTTTGGTGTTCCTCCCCAGTTGCGGATTTTTTGAATTAAGTCGTCATCACTCAAACTTGAAACATCAAGAACTGTCCTTGGAACCTGTAAGAAATATTATTCAAAGTAGAATACTGTCTCAAATTTTTTCTTTCAATCCTTCAGGTTTGAACAATACAAAAGCAAGGTATATGATCATACCCATATGATTTTAAAAGAACCTGCAACTGGTAATTTCGACTTTTTACTCTCTTTTTTACTTGTCTCTGTTTCCGTAAATCACTGTTAATCAAAACCATGCAAATAGCCTAATTTTACAGACATCAGATATAATAATCTCATTTTGGAATGACTTGACTAAATATGCAGAAAGTTCTAACTAAGGCAAAATCCCATTAAATGATGTAACAATTAAAAATCGATGCACGCTTCCTAAAAGATCAGCAGATGCTACCAATCATTTTCAACCATTTCAACTTACTTGATCAGTTAAACCAACCAAAAACTTTTTTTCCCATTATAGCATGAAGAAACCTAACCAACCCAACCAACCCTAATATAACACAATCAAAATTTCAAATCCTTTGGAGATGACAGAAAGCTACAAACAACAGAGCACTATATGCCATACAGAGTTGTATCTAGAGTGTTACAGTGGTACTAGAATGAGGTCAATAATGTTGAACTGAATGTTTGTCTGCAACCAACCTGAGGTGCTGATGCCGATGATATCAACATGTGAGCTGGCTGCAAGTTATACTGCAGTTTTAGATGTCTCGCTACCTCAAAGCAAATTCCACCACCTAGACTATAGGGGACAACAATAAAAATACTGGAAAATCATTCCACATGAGTTCCTTTCAGAAGTGATATTAAAATAATAAGGATGTTGGTCCACTGAATGTAGCTTTCAGGGATTGACACCAATGAAAAATGTTTTATTATGTACCATCTAAAGTGTCAGAGCAGTTAGAGGCCCGCACTTGTAACATTTCCAAGTCCTCCCCTAACCACTAGCAAATTTACCCCCTAATTGTAAAGGTGCACGCAAGCCAAAGCCCTAAACAGCTGGAGTTTATCCTGGTTTCCTTAGCATAAGGCATATATTTCCTAGGAGGATTGCTACTTCCCCTGCACGGGATGCTAGTCTATCACAGGGTTACCCCCACCAGTATGTTGCCGGTACCCATTTATACACCTGGCTGAAGAGAGACAGAGTAGAGTAAAGTTCCTTGTCTAAGGAAACAATGGCGAGGTGACGCTTGACACCTGGACCTCCAGATCCGGAGTTCAAGGTGTAATAACCACTTGGCCACACATGCCTCACACCAAGTAATAAAAGGTATAATTTGCAATTCCATGATCCTTATAGGGGGGTACCCCCCCTGGGGAGACTAACCACTTGGTCATGCTATCTCTATCCAGCAAAGAAGAGATATTGGCAGCTTGCTTGGTTGGCAATTATTACTTTGATCATTTACCATAGCTACTTGCCACTAACCTGTGCCCCCAGAGAGCAAAAGGCTTTTCTCTTAGAATCCCTTGCACATCCTGGCAAATGTCTTTCACAAGAGACTCCCAGTCTGTTTTAAATGGCTCTGAAAACCTGCTCTCACGTCCAGGTAAACAAACCCCATACACTGTAGATAAGACAAAGACAACAAGACCAAAAATTATATAACTGAAGTTGGACTTTTATGTGCAACCACCTTTCGTAAGCAACAGCCTTTCCAAAATTTCAAAATTTCCCTAGTTAAATCACTATTATAGTAGGAACCTCTTGTAAAATAACACTTCTTGTGAGTGACCACAAAGCAATACCTTTTTTCCCTCTAAGTGACCAAAAATATTTTCTCATTTCTTTATTTGCTAATATAGATTATGTAACTCAGAGTATAAGAGGATTTTTAGAAGGAAGAACATGAGACTGCTCATATTCTAACTCAGAAACTGTAGGCAACAATTCTCTTTGAGTAAATAGATGTCAGACGTGTTCCAGGAAGAGATGGTCCCAATCTGTGTTACAACTCCCATAAGCAGCAACCTCCGATTAAAGCATAACAAAGAGAGAGTGACCAGAAATGGACTACCATGTCCTGTAACCAACCTTTGAATCGCAGGATTTTGAGTTGTCACTTAATAGAAGTGGACAGTAAAATATTAACAATGAGGCACAAATTTGGCAAATTTAACAACTAAATGTTCCCATACCCCATTCTACCCGTCTTTGCATTACCCCACTCTAGTTACACTGTGGGAACCCCTTTAAAGTTTTACATTAAGATCTATAACATGAAACTGTCACTAATATTTAGACCAAATGATGAAACATGCCCATCAAGTGGCACGTGCCGGGGGGGGGGGGTAACTCCCATATCAAAGGGACGAGGATGCTCTGTGTCTCGCTAGGGGGAAAAATTGACAGGTTTTGGTCTCCCTTTAGATTGTTAAAGACAGAAAGTCATTATTTTTAGCCACTGACATCTACCACTTAGGGCTGTGCATAAAGATATATCTATATAAGCATTCAAAGTCAATTTCTTTAGTAGAATGCATCACAGATGGAAGTACACTTCTGCTGAAGTGCCTCTTTAAAACAGGGGCGGAAACCGAAAATGAAAAAATGTTGTCATTATGCTGTCAGAATGCGCACGGTGTACGTAAAAAATTGGATCACTTTTGTTCATATTTCTCTCATATAGTATTCAATAAAATTGAAATATTTTATTAATGCTAAAAAGATTGGCGAGATGATAATCTTTGGCGTATCTGTCCTTCGAGTTAATTCGCTTAGTGCCGGGTAACGACTGGAATAATTGCAGCTGTCATTCGGAAACCAGTTCTCATTAAGTATTAATTTAACACTAAAAAGAAGAAAAATTGACACAAACCCTCAATTTCCCTAGTAAATTTCTTTCCCCAGTTTCCATAGAATGCTGCACCGCCGCCGGCCCAAGGAAAGCATATCAACCTAACTTGAGAGTTTTGTTGTCGATGAACACATCGCAGCCATTTTGAATTCATTTTCCAGGAGGTATTTGAATGTTCGTAAATGAAGCATTAATGAATTGATCACGTGATGTGGTCTCTCATGCAAAATGTTTCGTATCAGGAAAGATTGTTGTTTGATTTTTGGGTTGGAGCAAGAAGCGATTTGCTGTAGATCCCTATGGCTAGAGGCATTTTCGAGGAAAGATTCACATTGTTAGACAGCTGAAGGTTAATTTTGCGTGACTTTGACTTCCCGCAAAGCTGTTTTAATGGGAAAACAAGTGCGTTGCTCATTTGGGACGATGAAGACAAGTTGTACTTTTCCCGCGGTGGTAAGCAAACGTTAAGTTGACACAGCTGATCTTTCGATTTAGTGGAAAAAT